CCACTCACCTCAGCCTCCCAAAGGCACGGGATTACAGGCTGAGCCACCAAGCCCGACTAGGAAGTCATTTTTTTTGAGTTGGAGTCTCATTCTGCCTTCCAGGCTGGAGTACAGTAGCACACTGACAGCCACCGCAGCCTCGACCTACTGGGGGGCTCAGACTATCCTTCCACCTTAGCTGGAACTCTAGGCATGCGCTGCCATACCCAGCTACTTTTTTTTATTTATTGTGGAGATGAGATCTCACCAAGTTGCCCAGGCTGGTCTCGAACCGGTGGGCTCAGGCAATCCTCTTATCTCAGCCTCCCAAAGTACTGGGATTATAGGCATAAGCCACTGCGCCTGGCTTTTTTTTTTTTTTTGAGTCAGAGTACCTCTCTGTCGCCCAGGCTGGAGTGCAGTGGCACACTCAGGGCCACCACAGCCTTGACCTGCTGGGCTCACGCGATTCTTCCCCTTCAGTCTTCCAAGTAGCTGGAACTACAGGTATGCGCCACCACTCCTGGCTAATTTTTTAGATTTATTGTAGAGACGAGGTCTTCTCCTGTTGCTCAGTCTGGTCTTGAATACCTGGGCTCAGCAATCCTCTTGTCTCGGCCTTCCGAAGTGCTGAGATTACAGGTGTGAGCCACCGCACTTGGCCTAAGAAAGTCATTTGATCAAGGTTTAATTGTGCAAGAAATGCCTGACCTAATTTTATGACTTAATGTAAAAAAAAAAAAAAAAAAAAGCAGTATTGCAAGAGCTGCTAAAATGGAAGTTTCTGAACCTAACTGATCAACGGTAGGGTCCATCCACTTCTCAGAAGGTCTGTGGCCTAAATGTTGTGGAGCGTTCCTAGTGTAGACAATGCCCTACAGCCGTTTCTACTCTTCAGCTATTTCCATCTAAAGCCAGGACCTCAGACAGACTGAATGTGATTCCTAGTCTTTTACTTGGTTCGTTTGAGCTTCTGATTCGTAATGAGGTGGGGTGGACACACGTCAGAGTCAGTAGCAGTTACATGGTTGAATGATAAAAGAATACATATATGTGAGAATGTGTGTGTTCATGTGTGTATTGAGAGATGTCCAGTTTCCTGGGGAGAAATATTGAAGTCTTTTTTTTTTTTTTTTGAGTAGGAATCTCACTCTGTCACCCAGGCTCAGGGCCACTGCAGCCTCGACCCGCTGGACTCAGGTGATCCTTCCGCCTCAACCTTCCAAGTAGCTACAGGCGCACACTACCACACCCGGCTAATAATTTTTTGATTTATTGTGGAGATGAGGTCTCACCAAGTTGCCCAGGTGGGTCTCAAACCCAGGGGCTCAGGCAATCCACTCACCTCAGCCTCCCAAAGGTGCGGGATTACAGGCTGAGCCACCGAGCCCAGCTAATTTTTTGATTTATTGTAGAGATGAGGTCTCACCAAGTTTCCTAGGTAGGTCTTGAACCCCTGCACTCAGGTAATTCTCTCTCCTCCGTCTCCCAAAGTGCTGGGATTACAGGCATGAGCCACTGTACCCAGTCCCTGCAGACTATTCTTTGTGAAATGTCTCTTCTTGACTCCATCCTTGTTTTTCCCCAGGAATCCATCGCTGCTACCTAATAAGGAAGGATTGTGAATCCATGGGGCCTATGCCCCCTGTTCTTTTTCTTGCCACATTCCCCACTGACCTCATTCTCTCTGGTGGCTACTGTTCTATTGCCTTTAAACTATACTCCTTTTCTGATCTTCTTGTAACCACCTACCCCGAGTATCACCATCTGGGCATCTGGATGTCTCATTCAACACATGTGAACACATCTACCTACCCCTAACCTGCTCTTTCTTCTGTTGCCATCTCTGTCAATACCACCTTCCCTTCTTAGGCTCTTGGTGTACTCCCTGCCCACTCAACCCTATGTCAGCTTCTTTCTTTCTTTCTTTTCTTTTTTTTTTTTTGAGTTGGAGTCTGACTCTGTCATCCAGACTGGAGTGCAGTGGCCGCTCCCGGCCACTACAGCCTCCACCTGCTGGGCTCCGGCGATCCTTCCGCCTCAGCCTTCCAAGTAGCTGGAACTACAGGCGCGTGCTACCACACCTGGCTAATTTTTTGATTTATTGTAGAGATGAAGTCTTGCCTGCCCAGGCGGTTCTCGAACCCGCGGGCTCAGGCAATCCACTCACCTCAGCCTCCCAAAGGCGCGGGATTACAGGCTGAGCCACCGAGCCCGGCTATTTCTTGACATTGTTTTAGTTTCACTGTTGCTTCTTCCAGGAGGTATGCATGACCCTCCCGACTAGATCCTTTTATTTATTCTCAAATTACCCTGTACTACCTGTAATCCCAGTTATTCAGGAGGTTGAAGTGGGAAGATCACTTGGGCCCAGGAGTTTGAGACTAAGGTGAGCCATGATCATACCACTGCACTCCAGCATGGGTGAGAGTGAGGCTCTGACTTAAAAAAAAAAAAAAAAAGTCCTGGTTCCATTTGAATGTTGTTTTTTTTATATTAATAGACCAATATTTGCTGATAAGTATCAGATACCAGGTCCTGTGAGGGCTAGCCTCAGTCCCCCTCCTGGACTCTTAACCTCTGGGGAAGTAGATTAGTCACTCACAGATGCATTTAAGACTCCCAGAGTTGGAGAGGAACACAGGTAGAGTGGTGCCCAAAGGAGAGTGGACAGTCCTGTCTGAGCCACCTCAAGGGGGACTCAAAAGCTGAGCTGGAAAGGCCTTGTATTCAAAGAGAGGTGGGCCTGTGCAGGAGTTCTGATGGAGGATGGAGGGAGCCAGAACAGGTAGAGAGATTCCCTCAGCCCTTAGTGACTTAAGGGTAGACAGCAGCAAAGGTCTCTGCTTAAGGCCAGAGGAAAAGTTTTTTCTTTGAGTCACAGTCTCACTCTGTTGTCTAGGCCAGAGTGCAGTGGTACACTCATGGCCACTGCAGCCTCCACCTGCTGGAGCCAGGCGATCCTTCCACCTCAGATTTCCAAGTAGCTGGAGCCACAGGTATGTGCCACCAAGCCTGGCTGATTTTTTTATTTACTGTAGAAACAAGGTCTCGCCATGTTTTTCAGGCAATCCTCTTGCCTCTGCCTCCCAAAGTCCTGGGATTACAGGTGTGAGGCACTGCACCCAGCTGGAAAAGTTCTTAAGAGTTGGTTCAGACACAAAAGGGTCTTGAGCCACTAATTTGCTGGGACCTCAGAACCACTGGCCCACATCCTAGACGGGGTATCACTGCCAACATATTTCTGGATCCCTATCTGCTCAAGCAGAAGCTGCAGCCAGTCCCTGCAGAGTCCCTGCACTGATAGGAAATGGCTCCAGGTCTGTTTTGAAAGATTATTGGCAACAGGGCCAACAGATGATAGGCTTGCTTTGAGTTGTTATGTAGGAACCAGCTGCTGGTCTCTAAGATACATCCCTATCCTGGGCCTGAATGAGCAATGGTACCTAAGTGCCTGTTCAGTTAAACTGTATGCTCTTCTCACTTTGAATACATGAGGCAGAAACTGGTAAAAACACATATAAACACTGGGTTGCAATGTGGAAAAATGTAGCTCAGTAATGGAAATTTATACATTGCATGAGCTACAACAGTGTAAAATGGGTTTGTGTGGGCCTAGAGAACAGACTCCTGATATGAGTGGTTGCCCATGTTATTTTGTGAGTCATTCAGTGTCCAGCAAATACTCAGAAAGGAGAGGCCAAATAGTAATTTGGGTTAGGCAGTCAACCTTTGTCCTGTGTCTTCTTTTTGAAGGACTTTCTGTTGTAACAGGGCCTTGGGATTGCCCTATTGCATGTCCTGGCAAAGGGAGAAATGCAGGAACAAGAACAAGACTTCCCACATAGAAAAGAGTGGATCCCACACGCTGCCGACAAAAGGATAGAAAGTTCAGACTTGGCCAGGATGAGTTGGAGATGAAGTTCCCAACCTTCTGACAATGAGGTTAGAAGGAAAGGTGTCCCCAGTTAACACTTACATAGGACATACACACAGTTCTGCTTACACTTGACACTTTATTAGTGGGGAAATTCGCCTTAGTCTGGCAGAGGTGAGGCTGGATGCAGGTCCAGCGCCCATCTCAAGGGGGATTTTCCGGGAAGTCAGGTGTCTCTCCATGCAAATTTAGAGGAAACACCATCATGGATGAAATCCCCATAGAGAGCAGCGCTGCCACTGGCGGAAGTCAGGGTAGAAGGGGCACCCTAGACACAGCTGGGTTTCTGGGACAACAGGGCTTCGATGTCAGGTTCGATGTCGATGGTCGGAAAGCGGCGGCTGTACCTGCGCACAGGCACACCGTCAGGGCCCACCAGGAACTTCTCAAAGTTCCAGGCAACATCGTTGCGGCACACCGGAGACCAGGTGATGAGCTTGGGGTCGGTCATGAGTGCAGTGGCGTCGTCGCTAGGCGTTGGCAGGGCCTCCCGCAGGAAGGTGAAGAGCGGATGCGCACCTGCACCATTCACCTCGCACTTCTCGAACAGTGTGAAGTTGGGCTCGAACCCACAGCCAGGTCGGACGTACTTGAGGGAATCCAGAATCTCTTCGTTCTTAGCGTTCTCCTAGAGCAGAGAAGGGCAAATGGGACCCAGGGCCGCGAAGGGAAGGGAAACGTTCTGATCACAAACAAGGGAGTTTCTCGATGAGTCACCGGGATGTGGCCCTCCTTGCACAAACCCAGGGCGGACTGGAATTCCTGCCGCTATGAGCTCCGGAAGGGAGGCGGGGAGGGTGGCTATTCTTTCCGCGCAGCGGGCCTGCAGCTACCTGGCTGGCGCCCCCAACCACGACTGCACGCCCACCTTCACCCTACCCCGCCCGGCGCACCTGATGCCCAAACTGGTTGCACGGGAATCCAAGCACGACCAGACCCCGGGGCCCGAGGCGCTGCTGTAGCTCGTTCATCTGGGTGTAGTCCCGGACAGTGGTGCCTCAGAGGGACGCCACATTCTCGATGAGCAACACCTTGCCCCGCAGGGAGCCCAGGCTCACAGGCTCCCCGCCGGCCAGCGGGCGCACGGAGAAGGCGTACACGGACTGGGCGGCAGCCGCAGCCGCTAGCCGAGCAGCACACATGGCGTGGGAGTCCGCAAAGAAAGGCGAACTTTAGAACGGGGTAGCTCGGGTGTGTGTGTGTGTGTGTGGTAGGGGGTGCCCACGCGGTGCCTTTTAACTGGTCGGCGGTGGGGGTCACGTGGCACAGGCACTTTTCCGGGCCTGAGGGTCCCGCCTCATCCGGCCTCCACCCTCTCGGAGGGCTCCGCCCCCTCTCAGCCCAGCACAGGCGGGAGGGCGCAAGCGGAACCCGCTCCGCTCTAGCAGGAAGAAGCCACGGGCATGTCTGGTCTGGCTCCGGCAACAGCGCAGGCCCAGCAGCTGCCAGCGGTCCGGGTTACTTTGCCAAGGGCCCAGGCCCTAGCGGGCTCCGGATTCTTTCTGAAAGGTTCCTCAATTGGGGTGTGAGGTTCAGCATAGGAAATTGGTCAGCGGCGGCAGCAGCAGAACTTGCTTGAGCACAAACAACCCTTCTGTGCTGTCCCGGGCTGCAGGCCTCTGGTCTCCATCCTCCCTCTCTGCCATCGCCCTTATACAGATTTGCTTTTCTTTCAGTCTCACTCCATAGCCCAGGCTGGAGTGCAGTGGCACGCAGCTCATGGCCACCGCAGCCTCGACCTGGTGGGCTCAGGTGATCCTGCTGCCTCAGCCTTCCAAGTAACTGGAACTACAGACATGTGCCACCATGCCTGGCTAGTGTTTTTATTTATTGTAGAGATGGGGTCTTGCCAAGTTGCCCAGGCTGGGCTCAAACCCATGAGCTCAGGCAGTCCTTTCACCTGGGCCTCCCAAAGTGCTAGGATTATTGGCGTGAGCCACCGTGTCCAGCCTTATGCAGATTTTCTAATAACCTGGTGGTCAGGAGACGCTGCCCCAGCCTCCTGGAGTTCAACAGCTTGCTAGGGCAAAAGAAATCCAACCCGAGTACCCTCTCTTCTCTCAACAGGCTACATTCCCACCCCACCACCCACTCTAAGCTTGAGTGTGGCACAAGAGAATCATTTCCATGTTCTGGGGGCACGGGGTGAGAGGGGAACCAGGTTAGTTGCTGGGTGAGTGGAGGGTGGAGCACACGCTGGTACTCTGCACCCTGAAGGAACCTCTCCAGGGTGAGCTAACCCAGGAGGGCTGAGTCCTTCCATCCTTCTGCCCCAGCCCTGGAGAGAGCAACACAAACACCAGGATACAGGAAGTTTAGAAAACTGCCTTTATTCTATTAGTAGTTGGAAAAATTAACTGGTACAGAAACAAAGTTTAGTCAGCTGGAGAGAAGAGAGAAACCAAGTACCACCCATGAGAACTGGCGGCTCCTCTGTGATACAGTGAGGAAAAAAGAGCACTGTGATTTAGAGCCAGATGCTGCAGTCCAGGTGAGACAGGTTATGCCACCTTCCATGTCTAATTGCCTCAGGCGTGAAACCAATTCCTATTTACTTAGCCCAGCTCTGGAGAGGGGTACTGGAATATGTGGAGCTGAAAAGGGGTCATATGGCCATCTTTTATCAGAAAAAGTAACAAAACGGGAATTTTAAAAATGAATTTTCCATCTGCCTTTATTTCCAAATACACTTTCTTTTTTAAAAAACCAATACACTTTCTTCAGAGATGACAAATATCAGTATTAGGAAATCCAATTATACAAAAAATACTACATCTAGTCTGGGGTAGATATATTTATTTTTGGTAACATACATTAAGTGGCACTAATTACACAGTAACTATAAGGTAACTAACATGAAACCACAGAACTGTAACTCTGCCACAGCTGCACGGACTTGGGCTTTTCTGGCTGAGCACATTTTCAAAAAACTGGATGACCACCTCAGAGCTATGCCAATTAAATCTGTTAAGGAGTAAAGCTCTGATGTGGTGACTCACCAGAGTACCTTGCAGCTGACAGATGATAGGCAGGACATGTTAGTTATAAAGTAGTTACAGCCTAATTCACAAAAGTTACCAATTGTTTCTCTTTCTAGAAAGAAGCAAGAAGTTAAGAAATTCCTTGAATTAGCGCCTGGTGTGTCAGGTGGGAGTGCAGAGAGGGCTGTTAGAGCAGTGTCAGAAGGACCCTGGTGGGTCAGACGGGTTGGACATCATTAATAATCATGGTTGGCTTCTAAATACTGGTAGCAAGATGACTTCTGATTTGTAATCTTAGGTTTTTATAGATAAATGAAAAAGGCCAGTAATCATACACTAAGATTAATAAACAGCACTTCAAAATTAACCGCATAAGGGCTGTGCTTGCAGCAAGGTTTCACAAGACAAGGCACCCAGATTTTTTCTTCCCACGCCTGGCTTGCAGAGCAGCTCTCGTAGCCATTTCAAAAACCTCCCTCACTCCATCTTTGGTCTTTGCTGAACACTCCATGTACCCAAAAGCGCCAATTCTGTTTGCCATGTCTCTGCCTTCTTCAGGTTTTACCGGCTCCTAGCAAAGAGAAAAGAGTGCTTTCAGCTAATAGTGTTACATTTTTTTTTAAAGACAGCAGGATTTATTGAGAGGATAGAATAGCTCCCAGAGAGGAAGGGGACCTGAGAGTATTTCCCCATACATTTTTTTTTTTTTTTGAGTTGGAGTCTCACTCTGTCACCCAGACTGGAGTGCAGTGGCCGGCTCTACCTGCTGGGCTCTGGCGATCCTTCCGCCTCAGCCTTCCAAGTAGCTGGAACTACAGGAGCGCACTACCATGGGCCCGGCTAATTTTTTGATTTATTGTAGAGATGAGGTCTCACCAAGTTGCCCAGGCAGGTCTCGAACCCGCGGGCTCAGGCAATCCACTTACTTCAGCCTCCCAAAGGCGCAGGATTACAGGCTGAGCCACCGAGCCCGGCTCCCCATACATTTATTAAGTATAGAGTATTTGAAAATTAGCTACAAGACCTCTATTAAAAGCTGCTGAAGCCGGGCTCGGTGGCTCAGCCTGTAATCCTGTGCCTTGGGAGACAGAGGTGAGCGGACTGCCTGAGCCCGTGGGGTCGAGACCTGCCTGGGCAACTTGGTGAGACCTCATCTCTACAATAAATCAAAAATTAGCTGG